CTTACACCAGTGATACAATTTTGACTAAGTATAATATAAAAGTGATCAAACTTTATTCATTATAATAATATAAAGCGAGTCTAAAACAAAATTGTATAAAAATCAAATATTAGCAGTATGATTTATTGCATATCTCCAGTTCGTTCAACTTCACATTACATAGGGTATTCATCAAATCAGATAACATGAATCGTAGTTGTCTGGTTTGAGAACTCCGTCATTTCAAGTAGGACTTTACTATAAAGAATGCATGAACATTACCTTAAATCAGTTGAATTTTTATCATTAGGCTTGTTCAGCTAGTAGAAAGCACGAAATTGTTATCTTAAAGTTCCGAAAGTGACCGTCTCAGTATATTTAAACAGCATGGTAACTTCTAAATCGAGTTAGAATGTTGGAAAAAGAAGAAAGTAAAAAGCGAAAGGAGATCAGTATCCCCACTTTCAAAGTTTATTAGTTTCGATGCAAACGACATTTTGCTCCGCTATTAAAATACATTAGCATAATTGTGTTTATCAAATACTACTTCACTCATCCCATGTCTTTTGATTTATCAGTAGACAATTTATATAGTCAAAAAATATCACATACACTGAAGTCAGTTTATTTGGAGGTCATTTCTCGATAGACATTTGTACCAATAGAAACATGTAAGCAGTCATCACATATTTTCCCCATTTTCCATCTTCCTGCTTATTAGTGACAAACCACTCGTGTGTTCAGTCATACTGATATTATTAACGAAAAGCAATTTCCCAGTTTTACGTATGATATTGTTCGGCAAACAGTCAACATATTCAGTGACTCTTAGATCTTCATTGACAAGATCCTAATTCGTGTGTAATATGTGCATACGTCAGATACTAGCTTACTAGTTTTCTCGCCGGTCCCAAGCCCGGGTAAAGAGGGAGGGTTGGGGCGTGGTGCTAGCAACTCCACCCCTGTAAAACAACCAAATCGCTACAGAAACTTCAACGAATAAATATATTAAAAATTCTAAAAACATAAGCAATAGCCTTACTTTTCGCTGGAATCGGGGAAGTGAAATGACGCAGGCTGGTGAAAGCCTTCGGGAAGCCAGTCAGCCGATGTGCCTTCTTTCGATGAAAGCAAAAGTAAGGATGGGTACCTGGAATGTTCGCACAATGTACGAAACTGGAAAGGCTGCCCAGATAGCCGCTGAAATGAGAAGGTACAGAATAGAAGTGTTGGGAATCTGCGAGAGCAGATGGAACGGAACTGGAAGGTGCCAACTACCTACTGGAGAGACAGTAATCTATTCCGGCCACCCAGAGGACAACCATGAGCACACCGAGGGAGTGGCCATCATGATGTCACCAACAGCAACCAAAGCTCTCATGCAGTGGGAACCAATCTCCTCCAGGATAATGACAGCCAGGTTCAACTCAAAAGGAAGGAAAGTTACAGTCATTCAATGTTATGCGCCTACAAACGTCTCAGAACAAGAGAAGAAGGAGGCGTTCTACAGACAACTACAAGCAATAATGGACAACGTCCCAAATGGCGATATCAAAATCCTGATGGGCGACATGAATGCGAAGCTGGGAGGAGACAACACAGGAAGAGAACTCACCATGGGTCGTGAGGCCCTCGGTGAAATGAACGACAATGGTGAACTCTTCTCAGACTTCTGCGCCTTCAATGATTTGGTGATTGGCGGTAGTGTGTTCAAACACAAGGATATACACAAGACGACATGGATTTCACCAGATGGAAACACCAAGAACCAAATAGACTTCATCTCAATTTCAAGAAAGTGGAGACGGAGCCTACTGGACACAAGGTCAAGGAGAGGAGCAGATGTGGGTTCAGACCACTATCTAGTAGAAGGGACTTTCAAGGTGAAACTAAAAGCCTCGAGGATAGCTGGGGATAGGCCACAATGCAAGTTCAACACTCAAAAACTGAAGGACACAACCACAAAAGACACTTTCACTGCAACTGTCAGAGCAAAGCAGGAAACACTACGCGACATCACTGAAGAATCATGCGTGGAAGAACATTGGAAGTCTCTGAAGGCGATTCTCAACGAAACGTGTTCAACGGTTCTAGGAAGAAAGAAGAGACAAGACAAGGAATGGCTCTCAACGGACACTTGGAAATTAATAGAAGAGAGGAGAATGGTGAAAGAGAAAATGATTCAATGCAAGGACGGACAGGAGAAGGAGACGATGAGCTCAACTTACAAAGCATTGGACAAAGAAGTGAAGAAAAGTGCTAGGAAGGACAAAAGACGATTCTACGACAACCTCGCCACTGAAGCTGAGAAGGCAGCAGGCAAAAGGGACCTGAGGACACTATATCAGATAACCAAATCTCTATCCGGGAAGAGACCAACACAAGCGAAACCTATAAAAGACAGCCAAGGGAACCCAATTACCAAGGAAGAAAAACAGATTAAACAATGGGCGGATCACTTCAAAGGACTCTTGAACCGACCATCACCTGCAACCCGTCCAGAAATACCAACAACAGCGCGCACACAACTGCAAGTTGACACCAATCCTCCAACGAGAGCTGAAGTCTTGAACGCAATCAAGCTTCTGAAAGCTGGAAAAGCAGCCGGACCAGATGGAATACCCCCTGAAGCACTGAAAGCGGACCCAGAGACTACAGCAGACATGCTGACTCCATTATTGCAAAAGGTCTGGAAGGAGGGAAAGGTGCCTACTGACTGGAGGAAAGGTTACCTCGTGAAACTACCAAAGAAGGGCGACTTACGCCTCACTCTGCAAGAACTGGCGAGGAATCATGCTCCTATCGACGCCAAGTAAAATCCTGAGTCGCATCATCCTGGAGAGATTAAAGGACGCACTGGAGACAGAACTCCGACCAGAACAAGCTGGATTCAGGAAAGGCAAATCATGTACTGACCAAATTGCAACTCTACGCATCATCATCGAACAAAGCATGGAATGGCAATCAAACCTCTACCTCAACTTTATAGACTTTGAGAAGGCCTTCGACAGCGTTGATCGTGAAGTAATTTGGAAATTACTCGAGTACTATGGCGTACCCCAAATATTCATCAACCTTATTCAACAGCTGTACGACAACGGCACCTGCCAAGTGATCCACAACGGAAGACTCAGCGAGGCGTTTGGAGTAAACACAGGAGTCAGACAAGGGTGCTTACTATCACCAATGATATTCCTAATTGTGGTGGACTGGATTATGCGTCAGACTGTGGGAAACGAGAAGACAGGAATATCCTGGACCGACGTGAAGAACCTAGAAGACCTGGATTTCGCGTGGATGATTTATGTTTGATGTCACACACAATCGAAGACTTACAAGCGAAAACCGACAAACTGGTCGAAGAAGCAGCAAAGACAGGACTCCAGGTGAACATAGACAAGACGGAGGTTATGAAAATAACCAACCAACAACAACAACAACAGCAGCAACATCCAACGTCAATCACCATCAACGGGAGGGATTTGAAAGAGGTTACTTCATTCACTTATCTAGGGAGCATTGTCTCAACTACAGGAGGAGCGGACGAGGATGTCAAATCGAGCGAGAATCGGGAAGGCGAGAAACACATTCATCAGCCTGAAATCAATCTGGAAATCTTCGTCACTCAGCATCACCAACAAAATTCGGATTTTCAATACAAACGTAAAGTCAGTTCTTCTATACGGATCAGAAACTTGGGGCGGGTCACAAAGAATATTTCCAACAGCTGTTGCAGACCTTTATTAACAACTGTCTTCGCTCAATACTGAAGATCAGATGGCCGGAAAGAATCACCAACAAGGAATTATGGGAACAAACAAAGCAAGAACCAATCGCCCAACAAATATGCAGGAGAAAGTGGAGATGGATCGGACACTCGCTGAGGAGACCGCTGGGTGACATCGCGCGTCAAGCCCTCGAGTGGAACCCGAAAGGGAAGCGGCGTGTGGGACGTCCAAGGGTGACATGGAGGAGATCGTGTGAAGAGGAGTTGAAAGAATATGGATTAACATGGATGCAGGCGAAAAGTATAGCAGAAGACAGAAGAAAATGGAGACGTGCAGTTGAAGCCCTATGTTCCACTAGGAACCCAAGGGAGCAATAATAATCATAATGTGTATACGTAATATGCTTAAGTAAGTGGTGAGATATCTGTCAATCTTACATTTTACTAATAGGTGGAGATATGGACTCGTGAATAAATATTCTAACATAAAAACCGATGTGATTACGGTTTATCTCCAGATTATTCATTTGGAATTCAGAAGTCTGATGAAGTGAGAGTTTGTATAGTTCCACGTAGTATTAGCATCAGCCACTGGATTTTATATGAAGCAACTACTTCAAGTTATCAGTGTTTACGTCTGCATTTCACTGTTTGAAGTGTAGACACCCAGTAGAAGACCACTCACAACCAGTCTGGACACATTTAAACCATTAAAATGAGGCAGAATAAGTAGTCTTAACTACCATGAAACCCGCACTTAGTTAACCAGTTAAATTAGTCGTGTTTTAGCTTAAATTTCTGACTTTTGCATGAAATGTATTTTTGTATAGTGAATTCCGATTGTTCTTACCGACTCAGACTGGTCTGTCTTCTATCTTCATTTGGGTGGGATCTGTAGTGTCAAGAGTGATTTGAAATCAGTATTAGTATTCGGTCTTCAGACGAGTTACTTATTGCCTTACCTTGTCGTTATTGTTAGCTCCGGTCAAAATGACCCATATCATATTTTGGTGACCACATCGAACCTAAACAGACGTTATCCTTATTGTTCATAATAATAGGCATTTTGGTTATGAAGTCAGTGGTAAATGTTAACTCAACTTAAATCAATAACCTAATGAAATTTAAGTAGATATATCCCATCAGATTAAGTGCTGTAAAAATATTTGTCGTCTAGTGGAGATAATTCACAGATAAAACACTCTAAGTCATCTTAATTAGAAATTAAGAAATAAAATTTATTTTTTAAGAGAAAATTGACTTGTATTTATTTATCAAGGCATAGAATATAATATTATCTCACTTCAGCTCTGGTGATATCCATGTCAAATGAAACCTCTGAATTTGAGAATTCCTGCAAAATATCCATCCACTTTGGCATTTCATTCCAATCCGAAGTGCTTCGTTTAAGTGTATTTTCATATTTCTCAAATGTAGAAACAATGCGTTTCAATTTCTCGACAAACAATTCTGTGCATTTTTGTACAAAGGCCTAAAATAAGTAAAAAAAATTGAGTAGTGAACTGATTTCATGCAGCTGAGATCTCTGTCATAGGCATTGTCGAAAAAAATTACTGAAAGTTTTCTCAAAAAGGATTTGAATTATTTGACAAACACGTCTAGGTAGAACATAAAGCTGTATAGTTTTAAAACCATTTGAAATATACAGATGTGTAGATGAATGTGTTCAGACGCATTTTGTGTACAAAAACTTCTAAAAACTCATTAAATGAGTTTCCTCCTAAAGAAACATTGAAAATCAAACCTAGATTGAAGTAGAATACTCCAAGTGACAGGTACATCAATAATGCGCACTATGACTGTTTGAACCATTTGATACGATGCACAGAAATTCCATCTACCGAATCATACTCTTTGATTTTGATTTAGTGAGCATTTATGTAATCTCATAAATCCAAACTAAACCAAAACCAAGTTTATGTACAGCTACGAAAAGACAGTCAATATATTTTTATATTTATATTTATTTATATTTTTATAGTTCAAGGGCATGTTAATTGGTTGACATATGGTGTATTTTATATTCATCGGTTAATTATTGCCAAAGCAACAAGGAAAAACCGGTGAACGTATCTGAATGGAATAGTTTTATAACAGCACCAATCAGAATCCCCAGGTGAAATCTGAATGAAATCGGTTATTTCTTTCACTTGCATGGGGAAGAATCATGATTTCACACAAAGGTGTTTATTACTGTGAAGTCAGTGTGGAAATCTACCCCACTCTTCATAATGGACAAGATCCAAATTTTTAACACTATTGTGAAGTTACTGCTTCCATATGGTTCAGAAACTTGGCACATACGTCACCAAGAGCATTTTCGACAGGCTGCAGACTATCGTCAACACTTGCTTTCGTTCGATATTGAAGATCAGATGATCCGTCAGAAAAGATGAGCAACAATGAGCTGTGGGAGACAGGTCACGAGGCAACAATCTCTCATCCAACAAATATTCACAGGTGTATTGGACATAGGCTGAGGAGACTTTTAAGTGATATCACAACTCAGAGCCTTGAGTGGAACATGAATGGGATCCAACAGGTTCAGGGATGACATGGAGGAGATCAAGGGAAGAGGAAATATCAACCCGTGGGCAGTCGTAGAAACAGCTAAAAAAGGCGACAAAGAACAGAATACGATGAAGATGTGTTACTGAAGCCCTATATTCCAAGTGTGACCCAAGGGACGAATAAAAGCATATAAGAAGACAATGATAACACTAATACTTAAAATGATCAGGAAAAAACTACATTGCTGCCAGTGTTCTGAAGACATTAAGCTGTCGGAATAAATAGATACATCGAGGCTGTAAGAGCTCAATCCGAAAGGTTTATAAGTTTATTTGGAGTTTGTACCTCCTTGAAATCTGTATTTTCTTCTCTGTGACAAGAAATTGAAAGTGGTGGCTCACCATGGGGCTTCAGTGATTCCTCACAGCAAGCAGGCCTTTGTACAAATAATGCTAAAGTTTGAATGAATGAAGTTTCTCAAAGTTAAAAAAAAAATACCTTTTCATGCTCCAACAGCAGATTTTTCAATACTGAACGCAGTGATTTTGTATGAACTTCAATTGAGCCAACTATGTAAGTATTGGGTATACAATTTATTTTAGAATCTATTTCTTTATATTCCTGAAATTTCGCTTCAAAATCCATAACAGTTGGTTTTTTGAATTCACTCATGAATTTCAAAAGGTTATCCGTTGGCTTAACTGTCCAGAGACAGGAGTACTCTTCCATAGGTTCCGTTATGCTTCTTAATTCTTTAATACCGCCTAAAGTATTTTGAAAAAGACACAGTACTGGTGACAATGAAGACTGATGGGAAGAGATGAATTAAACAGGATAATGCTGTGATTGCATATCAAAGTTATATCCATCAGGAATAAAAAGTGAGAAGAATAACTATTAAGATCGAGATAAGATACCATGTAGCTATTTCACTCATTAGCTTATATACACAAAAAAGGAAATGAATGCGATGACTGGTAAAAAGATATATATGCGGTTTTTTTTAAAGGAGTTGTACTAGTGTGACAGCAAGAAAAGTATACTCAGTAATGGAATTAAAACGCTAGTAATTCTCGAGGAGTGATCAAAATTAGGCAGTTAATGTAAGAACTCACATCACAGACTGCTGCAAATAATGCAGCATTTAAAGTCAAATGTTGAGAATGAAAAACGTTAAAATACAGATGAATGCGACAAGCTAGTTTGGTATAGCAGCATTAATTAACTTGATTTTGAAACAATTAAAAGTCGAGTGTGCCAAACATTACTTGTAAGACATATCGGTGACGGAAATTGATTAACTTCCACGTTTTATTGTTGAATATACAAGACATAAGCTTGAAAAACATTCCTAAGCCTTTCAGTTGACAAAATATGTTTACTGTCTGAAGTAGACTTTAGAAACATTCCATATGTTTCTAGGGTCGGGAGTATGGTGTTACCGAAGGGACGGAAGACAGAAGACTTGGTAACGGGATGTCTATTTGGAATTCGATATCTCTATGTAGGGAAATTATGTACACCTTATCTGCAAATCGTCATTTGTACAGATCTTCCGTGTTGTGCCTATCGTACTGTGTTTCTTTATCTTCTTTTCGTATCTCCCATGTTTTCCCACAACACTGATTCATTTGTTGCGGTTGGATTTAAATCTATCTCTGGGTTATTTGGTGTTTTTTTTTTGCCAATGAACATCTCTTTAAATACTGCTCATAAATCTTGTCAGTAGCACACGCTGCATTATTAACATCCATTTGTTTCTTGACGTTCTGTGACCATGTGAGTGATGAATTTTCCCGTTTTTCCAATTTTGTGTGCATGTATAAAATTAACTAATCCTCTGGAGCAAGGTAGATGAATAGTAAGGTGAGATTACTAGAAGAATCTTTTGAATAACATGATACAGCAGGTTGCAAAGGGGAGAAAAATAGTAGTCTATAGGTAGTGTTTTGCGTAAGCTCTGCACACACTGTAGATATCACTGCTCTCAATTTCGAAACATAAGTCGAGGAAATACTTAAACTGGGCATAGTCACAATCATACATAGTGATGAAACAGAAGCAGAATGATACCACAACCAGTTCCTTGCAGCCTATGCAACTTTCCGAATACATAAAGTGATCATTACCCCCAATTATTTCACAATTTGTCCTTAAGCTACGAGTTAATCATATACAGCGTCATCTTATGTTTGACAAGACAGAATTATGTTGAACAAACTCATGTTTGCGAAGAGATTCGGAAGACTGAGATTTGTCAGCATTTTCATCTATAAGGACTATTTTACATTCTGAAGTTTCGCTACAATTAATACATAATACTTCATGTGATTGTTCGAATAAGTGAAATAGTCAGCGAAACCACTATGCACGATATTCTTAAGACCGGTCCTTCAATATCTTAAATTTTACATGTATAATGACGTCATATTTGGATGGTGACAGTGGACATTCCTGTAAAAATCACAGGCTATCTAAACTTCAAATAATAGTTTCTCTGTAAACTCTCACACAAGTACATAAGTTTCAATAGATTGCCCTGAGTAATACTACATATTTTCTGGTCACTAGTTCTATAGCCATTATTTCTAGATCGACTACATTGAATGAGGTCAGAATGTATATTCATACATGGGTAATGTATGTATCTTAGCGATAACATTTATGCATTCTTGAGTTCGTAATAGGACAAGCTACAGAATATAGCTAAATCCATTTGAATACTTCTCTTTTTCTAGAATGTTATAGAAAGTCTAGACAAGTACTAATTTTCACTTCGGGTGAGGTTAATATCTTTCACAGGAGATCGAACAAATGTATGTATAACCTCTCTTAATCCATTTACATTCACCCCATATCATCCATTAATTAAACATCCAGTTTAACCTCTTGAACGCAATAAAAGACATTTTTCTCGTTAGTAGTATGTGCCTTTCTTTTTTATCTTGTTCACGTTTTACGAAAATTAACTAAATACTTCTGTGGTTTCTGAGTATTTTGAAAGCTAAACATCATTATAATAATAATATACTTGCAGAGGTTCTAGAATAAGAATGGAATATTACTATGTACATGCATACCTTCAGGTAAAAATGAAACCATTTTCATAGTATAACGCCATGATGACAAAAGCGCTTTCAATCGATAAATTTCTCCATCATGCTTGACGTCTTGATACCAACTTTTCGATTCAGATATGCTATCATGGAAGTACGAATTGACTGGGCATCCGTGCAATAATTCGTCAAACATACTTTGAGCATTATTTAACTGAAATTAAGGAAACTGAAAGTTACTTGTAAGCTAAAGAGATGCTAAATTAAATGTATAAAACAGTGTGAAAACTTCCATACTCTTACGTAATGTTATTTGTTTGCTTTTTAACTGAATATAAAAGGGAATATTAGCCTAGAAAAGTGCAACTGTCATCCCAGAAGTAACTGATTTCTTACTAGAATTATTACGAGTAATGGACTGGAAAAATAAAATAGTCCACCTCTCATAAATATCAAATACTTAAAATGTATTAAGTCCCGTGAATAATGTTCACTTCACATTATCTTTAATCAATGATATGTGCATGTTACTTTTGCATTAAATATTAATCCTCGATACAGTTTAACACTTTGCACTTCCTTCTATGAATGATGAAGTCTATTAACTGTAAATGTAACTGACATTTTATCAACAAAATACCGAAGGAAACTGTTTGAAAAGCCTTCACTTTACAAATCGTAGACGTTATCAATGATCTTTCATTTCAGTTGAAAGACTTCAGGGAATATGACTTCCAGAAATCTCACAACTTATATTATATATTAAAAAGCAGTCAGCTGAAAATGTTAGATCTGGGTTGCATTCTGACTGGGATTTATCAACAGGATATACTCAATAAATGAATTCGTTTACTGGTGTGACATTTGCATCTTTTGCATTTCAGCACTAAGTGTCAAGTTAATGATGCATACAAGTTACACTGATAAGTTAGTTTCACTCTGTACAGTCGAGGGATAGGAAGAAGCTTCATTTCACAATGCGGTAGCTAAGAGTAGAATCTCCGCTATATTTACTTCTTTCATCCCATACTATAGAAAATGGTGTATTCAGAAATAAGATGGTGAGGAAGCATTTGTTACCATTCATCTAAGAGTAAATCAAAGTCTCCATTTATTTTCCATAGAATATGACCCTTCTGAATTGGAACTAGTCTGTAGTGAAACAAACCCAACAGAAAGTGAAATATCTTGTCTAAACTCACTTTGCACACTGTCGTCTGTGAATAAGTCCATTTCTTAATTGACTTTGTACACTTTAAAATACAATTTACCAGTATTCTAATGGCAGCTTGTATCTCTTCCAAAGTGGGACTTAAAACAAGCTTACTGTTAGAAAGAAGGATGTCACATTTCACAATCGGTCTAGGTTGTGAATTACCTGATCAAAAGAATTCATGAAATGTTAGCTTAGCATTATGAAAAACATTTTACAGATAAACAAACTAGCTCATTCATGTAATAGCTTTCATATATTCCACATAAAAAATATACATAAGGTGTGTGAAGCTTGTGCTTCCACTAGCTTACTTTCTTGCTCAAACACTTACGTCACATACCATTTATCTTATCAATGTGCATAATTCTATGGTAATACACTAAAACAAAGAGGAGGAATAAGAGCGCTTCGTATGTGAGGATAAGGGAACATGAATTCAAATGGTGTGAAATGTAATTCACCTTCAAGACTGTTAGTCACAACTACAGGAAAAGAGGTGATTCATACGAATCCCAACACTGATGCCAAAACAACTTTCAGAATTCTGCATAAAAACCGACAGAGTGCATACTACAGTATTCTGAGACAACAGATATTTGTGAAATTAAGTACCTCTTGTATGTGTGGGTGAAAACAATTTATTGTCGTATTCAACCGATCCTGATTATCCCTATTATATTATCAAGATTAGTGTTACTTGTCATTCCTTCTTATTTTTAGCTCCTTCGTTATTTTGTTTAGTTTAACTGCTAATTCATTTTTTCATTTTCATATATGTTCATCTGTCAACTAATTGTGTGATCAGAATGTATTTCGTAAAAACACTAAATTCTTCACAAGAATTTTGTCTTTTTAAACCATATCCAATATTTGGTTTAAAGCTAACGGGGAATGTCACTAGAGCAAGAAGTAATGAATTCATACAATTTCGGTAGCTATCGCCCCTGAATATCCTACATACAGTGATATATATATATATATATATATAGTTATTTCATAGTAAACTTCTCATTGCAGTTTTACTATCTCCTCTTAAATACATACTACTTTGTGCTAGTCACTAACCTAACACCTTTCATAACCGTGAAGTGACTTGTCAATTCTTCCTATCCCACATTCTACGCATCTGTTACGACTAATCAGAACAATTGTCTTTCACCTTACAATATTTTATAATCGATTTCATCCTAGCACGTTTGTCACACAAATACCATTTGTCAATGCATAAACAATTTATTCATCATAATAAATGTTTTTTGTATTTACCAATGAATGAAAAACAATGAACGATATTGCTTTTGCTTCACTATTTAATCTTGCTAATAGATTTATCAAAGTATTATTAAACCAGAATTTACAATATCTCAGTATATATATATTACAACTTAATCATCGTTCCTCAGCAAGGGGGCATTTCCCATTGTTATACATAAGCTGATATTTTGTAAATTCTGCTTTAATAATACTTTGATAAAGCTATTGGCACTAAATAGCGACACTTCAGTAAAAACAATATCGTTTTGTTTTTCATTCATTGGGAAATACAAAAATCTTTATTATAATGAATATCATATACTCAATGCCTAAATTTTTTCAAACTGTTAAAAGTGAACTTGGTTTAGACATATATAGTTTATTTATTACTATGCAGGTGTTGCTTCGCTAAGATTTGGTTGGTTTCCATTTAAGTCATATATCCCTCCATGGCATGTATTTCTCACAGAATATATATACATATATGTTAACTGCGTTAATGATATTGTTACTGGGAAAACTATGTTTTCACTTGATGTATGCTCACTTTTTACCAATGTTCCATTAAGTGAAACTGTTCGCTTCATTTGTAATTACATAGACTTACATAATGTAAATGTGGGAATGCCCACATCATACTTGAAACAACTATTGCTTCGATGTATCTTCAATCTCTAATTTCTTTTTAACAGTGAGATCTATAGACAGAGAGATGAAGTAGCTATAGGCTGGCCAATTAGTCCGTTGCTAGCAGATTTCTTTTTGGTTAGTTTGGAGAGCAGTACTCTCACATCTGCTATGAAGGGACTTAGCTACTACAAAAGATATGTGGATGACAGGTTCATTATATGCGACGAGAACTGAGAGTTGAATGACATCCTGAAAGCATTCAGTGACAGTCATCCTGTTATCCAGGTTACTTTATAAAAAGAAACTGAAAGAAAAATATCTTTCCTTGATGATCTATTCCCAAGGACAGCTGACGAGTCTTTGAAAATATCTGTATACAGAAAATCGAAGTGGACGTGACAGCTGACGAATTTTTACAGTTTGTATTCAAAGATAGAAAAAGGAATCTAATCCGTTCTCTCTCAACACGGGTGTGGAGAATTTGTATTGTTGATAATGGACTTAAACAACTCAAAGAAACCTTCATTAAGAACGGGCATCTACTACGCTTCGTGGAGGTCGGTAGCAAAGTACATAGAAGAAGTACAGAGATTGACGGGGTAGATAAAAAAGTGTTGCACCTAAACTTAGAATTTAGGGGTAACACTGCGAGTGAAATACTTAAAAATCGTCTAACGAGATCAGTGAGAAAAACGTTCTTTGCTGCCAATTTACGAATAACCTACTCTAGCCGTCCACTAGTGCACCTTAATGTCAAGGGAATGTTACGTCGATTGCCAAATCCCATGTGTATTTATATGTTCACCTGCTCTTGCGGAACTAGGTACATAGGACGGCCGTCGGGAAACATAACACGCAGCTGAGCACCTTTCAGTTTAGCTGCGGAAAGGAGAACGTAGAGGCATTAATTCATCGATATTGAAACATATTGTAGATACTGACCTCGCAGCATCTGAGACATCGTTTAATGTAGTCTACAAAGTCCGACAAAGTTTGCCGAAAGGGGCCAGAGTACATTTGCTTTGCACACAATATAAAGCCAGAACTTTGTGTAAAAAACAATTTGTACGATCTGTTTCGTTACCATGGTCTTGATTTTACTATGTAATCCACATAACAACTTTGTTATCCTTCTTTATTCGGTGTTCCAATTTTGTTTTGGTTTTATTTCATTTTACTTTATGTTATCACATTCTAACATTTTATGTTTCTATCATATTACTATTCACATTTCCAAATGTACTTTATTTTCCGACCATTTATTTCACGCATGTTTACTGAACTTTAGGTTGACCTCAATTAATCGAGTTATTCATCCATCTATCTAATCAATTGTGATTCATAATCTTATACACCAATAATTATGATAGCATACAATTGGTGGATGGTGGCTAGCAGTGGAATCGGGGATGCGCATTTCGTCCTATTTGGGACTCGTCAGCTGGATGTACCTGCATTTCTCAGTGAGTGATGATGTTCCCACTGAGGCTCGAACCCAGTGGTCAAACGCCAAAGCGTTATCCACTAGACCACTTGGGCCACGAGAGCCACCTCTTGTGCAACGGGTCATATTAATTATTGAATTGAATTTTCGATTTTCCCGTCGATTGATTGGACCGAAGTGCTCGGTCTCAGGTTGACATGTCGGCACCTGAGACCGAGCACTTCGGTCCAATCAATCGACGGGAAAATCAAAAATTCAATTCAATTATGATAGCACCTTAGTATTTCCACACACTGTCAAACTTTAACACACACACACAGGAAAACTGATTGTTATTGTCTGTTGTAATATATATATAGTAAATAAACAAACTAGGAACTGACATTGATAGTCATGCAATCGTATATATATATATATATATATATATATATATATATATATATATGTATATATGAATTACAACAGACAATAACAATCAGCTTTTTTGTGTGCGTGTTAATACTAAAGTGAGAACGTAGAACTGCGAAGTCGTCTTTTTTTTATCAACTGTTAGAGTCTGGCCATTCAGTCCCACGTGATTGATCCTTCAAGGTTATCTACATGGCGAAATAGAATCGCTCCAAAAGTTTACGTTTTCTTCACTTATGCATAGCCGAAGCTTTAGCTATACATGAACAGAAACCTAAATTATGTGTTCAAAAGCGTTTTGTCAAACCCCTTTCTTTACCTTGGTCATAATAATTTTCTTTCTAGTTTTTATTTTATTTCATTTTACCACTTGAATTCATTCCACTTCACTTCACATTTTTATTCTTATCGTAATCGTACTCCTAATTTTTAAATTATTTTGACAACACCTGACATTTTAAAAACATTTTTGATATCAATTCACTTGTAAAACAATCTTTAATAATTTTGTAGTTTATACACTTCAACTCTACCCATTATAACATTTTAATTATCGTTATTCTTATCACATATATATGTATATTGACTAAGCAATTATTTAGTGCCACTTAATAACCTTTTTCTGTAATATTAATACGACTGTGCAGCTTGAAAATGAAGTCGTTGAAAAGAAATTTCTTCGCTGAACAAACTAAACTGTATTTTTACTTATGAATAAATGGGTATTCTTTGTGATTTAATGTGCGATATTATTGGTGTATTTCGAAAAGAGAATTTTCTTCGCTGAATTCTTTGTTTTTATGTCTCAGTGGGGATTGTTAAATAAACTACAATGAATTAATCATAACAAAATGAGGGGTGAAATGTTTTACGCGTCTTGTTTAGACTGAGGGACACAGGGGAGTAGAAGGGGTTTGAAACTGAGATAATAAACTATAAAGAACTACCAATCAGAGGGAAAAGTGAAAAATGTTGGGAATCAAAAGAGAGAAAATAAGGATAACAACAATATTAATAATAATTATTATTATAAGAAAAATAACGATAATTGTTATTATCGTGACAGATGGAAAGAAGTAAAATAGTAATGATAATAGTTAAGAAAGTAAAAGATACTACCATGGGACATTTGAGGTAATCGCCAATTCCTTCGGTATCAGGAAATAAATGTCCCAAATGTTTAATTCCTATTCGAATCAAAGCCATTATGCAAAGAAAATATTAACCACTGTGTAAACATCTATAATACTCCATGACATTGCAAAGCTCCAGGCAACTAAACTGTAAAATACTTTCTAGCAATTTTCTTTCTGCTAAGACTAGAATTTAGCCGGTGTGGTAGAATATCATTCTATAGTGGATAAATTTATTTGATATAACATACAGTCAGTGATACAGTGTTAATAACTGGATGACTTTTTGAGCGCAATTTATTGCTCATAATCAAATCAACATATTCACCTGACTTCTTCCTAAGTTGCTTCGTATGGTTTTGTTTTTTTATTTTCGGGACAGGTGTGATGTGTCATTCCTATCTCATGTATTTAGTCTTCACCATATGATGAAAGATGAGGTATATAGGGTAATCTCTGTCTCCATCTAACTACATTAGTTTCTAACACTTTTATCCTATCAGTTGCTCTGCATCCACCTATATATCATCACAAAGTGCGTTGAGACAGGGTAAAAGTGTACGCGTATGTGTGACAAAATATAGAGCAATAGTTGACCAATTTTGAAGATAAGAGAATGTAAAAGTGTTGAAAAGTAATACGTCAAAAGTTTAAGATCTTCAAGACACAGAAGAAGAGAGGCAGATAGCACTTTCCAAATCAAAGGCTGTGTAACTGTGTTTGTATTGTACCAAATAAATAAAGTTATCAGGTATTTCTGGCCATTTAAGCGATCATAGTTACCCATACAATTAACATAAATAAGCTTCTAAAATTTAATTTATTTAGTTTAACGTATACGTAATAGAGAAGATTTGTAGCTCAGGTGGATGATTTGCAATGATTAGTGTTCTCTGAGCTCAGAGTGTAAATCATAAAGAAAACATCTGAATATCAACGTGGTTAAATAGATGTTATATTTGATGCAGTCTATCGAAGCATTTCATGATGTACATAATGTGCCTTTGTAACGCTAAGACAGTCGCAGTTTCGGCATATAACGAGCAAACAGAATTACTACCTCGGTGATCAACAAATATGGAAATAATGAATAATGGCGATGTAAACCAAAAAAACACATTTAACTCTTGTGTCTTTTACATAAATACTGTGAACTTAATGAAAGTAAAACTATTTGCACATAATCTGATTACGTTAAGACTGATATCAATCGAAGGAAATAGTCGTTTGATAAGTTATACAACTGTAAATAATCTGAGGATAGGCAGCGTGTCCCGTCTTATCTAGACAATGTTTGCTCTAATAAAACGACATGAATATAATAAATACAAGATAATAAACACTCAAAGAAATACCGAAGCAAATCAGCTTTAGTAAGAAATATTTAGCATTGTTAATACAAACATATTCCAGAATAATTGCTTTATCATGATGAAAACACTTTATACATCAAACATTTATGAAGCAAAATTATTTAAAAGTTATTTGATTTCACTTACGAATATCGATATTTTGTCCACTGGAGAAGGTTGTCAACAAGCTGCAAACTTCACTCGTATTAAAATATTTCCATAACTCCATTAACGCCACACGAACCGATGTGATAATAGCATCTTTTGTTTTGTCAGTATATAACCTGATAATTTCATTTATTGCTGTCTGAGTTCGGCAGATCAGCTCCACGCTTTCTTCAGCAGTATTTACCTTTGCATTAAATTCTAAGGAATTCGCTTCACGCTTTTCTTTAATGGATTCACCAGCATTTCTTGATCTATCTGAAGATGTTAAATGTTTAGCAAAAAACAAACACTTCTTATTAGAATGTAAAATAAATGTTTATTTTTGTAGTTGGAAACTAAACCTGAGTTATGAATGTATTCCTCACAGACGCTTCATGTTTACCAAAGCTGAATCCTACTTAGTGGTTAATAATCCTTAACTCTGAAGCACTTGTAAGTTTGATGTGAATCACTAATACAATGAAAGGAGAAGCTTTAGTTGGGAAGCCAGTGCAAATTAAATATTAGTGTAAAATTGCTTTCATTTGTCATAGGCGGATCTCATGTCAGTCGCTCTGAGGTTAGCACTGAAAGTTCTCAGAAGACTTCTCAGTTTTGTCTTACCCATCATAAACCAACAAAACCTACCCATAGGATGAAATCAATCCCTGAAATATCGTTGTATATCTCTTATGAAAGGGAATAGGAATGGCGTTACCAGCATCCCAGAACTAGAAAAGTAAGTGTTTTACATGGAAAAGAATTGATATTAACAAGGTGAAAATCATATCAGTAAGCTGAAAGTATTGAGTAAAATAGACAGTTATGCGAATAACTTCACGCTTAACTAATGCACAATTAACAAAGTAATAAGACAAGGATTGCACTGTTCTGTTAAATATTCAGGCTAGGTTGTATATATATTATGGTAACGGGTGTGGTGAAACGTAGATTCCTGTATTTTATGTAAATCCAATATTCTTAAAGACTTATACACGCCGAAAAGATTTGCTGTATTTCTACTCGTCAAAGAGCTTCTTTTACTTTATTTGATTGGTTATAGGATTTCATCATGAGCTGACATCAGTAGAGAACCATTGGAAACCTGGGAGTTTACTTTAGAAATCGGATCTCCAAATTTGCCCAAATAACTGAATGACAGATGTTCTATTCATTCTTAACACTCATCTTACTATAAATGAGTGTGAAAAAAAACTTAGAGAGTTAGCAAGGTTCTTATTTAATTCGGTAAGGTTTATTTTGTTCGCATTGTTGCATTGTGAAACAATGTTGTCTTCTAAGGGGACACATTTTTAGGGAGCCACTGGTTATTGTCTGCATTGTTTGCAAATACTCTGTTTCCCTTGTGTGCGAGACAGATTTCTTCTTATTATTATTATTGACTGAAGGTTTAGTTTTATACATATATATTCCCTTTTGTGTTTCTTGGTGAATTTTTTAAGGACATCCATGCTCTTCGGGAGGTTTTCAGTAACACTGAATCTCCCGTTTAACTCTTTTGACGACAGAATTCTTTACTATACTCTGAAATGCCATGAGCAGTTCGTGCTTATACCTATTGTTGTAAAAATATTTTTACAGTATTTCTTTACTGAGGATAACCTTCACTATCCTAATGTTTCTTCTTGTTGTATCCAGAAGTGGTTTTGTTCTCATTTACCTGAACATCAGGTTGGATCTCATTAGGTCTGAAGAAACATTTGACAGGCATAATTCATCCTATAAGAAAATAATAAATCCTTCTTCAGTTTCTGACTAAAATTACCCTAGGAGATACCTACCAGCTAAGACCAAGCTTTTATCGATCGAATCAATTTTATCGAAAAAGCGGATTAGGAAGTTGAAACTGGTCAAGAAACAATATCATTTGTCTGGTAGGTTGTAATTAAACATACTAAATTTCAGTTGTCTATAACAACAGTGACCGAAATCTTCTAAAATAACGGTAGAAATATACACAATTATTATTTTTACCGTTTTGCACAACTTTGAAGTATTCATTATTTAAGTACTGAAAAAAATCTGTTGTTAACACTTGAATATAGTCGTGAACTGATAACTTAATTGTTTCTGACATATTCTGCATTATATTTGCTTGTTTTGTGCAGATGAGGTGTACAGTATGCAACAACTCATTCAGCGACCAAACTGAGCTTTCCCAACCTCTCTCAACACTTTCACTGTTACACTGCACTGAAGATGAAACTGTTATGCAAGAAGCAGGCATGAATGCTGGATTACTGTTATGTAAAGAGAATAAATGACATGATTCTTGCTTTCTGTTTGCACATTTGTAGAAATTTAACTTCAAACTTTTTGCAATTGTATTCAGATTCAAATTAATCTGATTTTTTATATGTTCACTTTGAGTTATCGTGTAGTCCACTGATGAAATGTGTTCTTCAATCACCTGTGAAAGTTTCATTAACAGATAAGAACAAGCACATCAAAAACACAAATTATAAGTTTGTGTCACTCTATGTAGAAATATTAATCATATTTTTAGTTGATAGAGAGAATATTACGGTCTATTTTGAGCAGATCATCTTATTTCAATATAAAATGTATCCGATATCATTCAATGATCGTGATGCTAGTTTCACACTTAATACACATCGTACATACCGAGAAGGATTTTCTTCCATCGTGATATTTTCAAATCAAATGTGAGTCATTTTATATCTTAGTGTGAACAGAACATACTAACGCCATGTATCTAATTGTACAAAATTTAATGCTATAGACACAAAAAGAAACTTATGGGGAATGTTGATTGACAGCAAAAGACATGTTGCTAAGTAATCATTCAAAAGAAATAGAATTATGAATCAACTAGTACTTCAGCATATTAATTTTCAATGTGTTTGATGTGTAAACCAAAGCAACACGTCATTTGGTAACAACCTAAATGAAAAGTCACAACAGCGAGGTTAAAATAAAATAAACTGCCTCGATCACTTAGTTCCGAATAGTGTACGGTGAATAATTTTACATAACTATGCCAATGGAATGAAGGTGTAGAAAACTGATGTTTATGTTACCATGTTCAGTCAGTGGTTAATATCCCCTGAATAATAAATCACACATTTAATAAAACTTTATCCTTTTAACAACTTCACTGTGGTAAAAGCAAAATCACTAAATTACCTCAATCCACTTGTCTGTCGTTAAGCTAAGCCAGTTATGCTGATAAAATCCTTCATAATAAATTTGATAAAATTTATACAATTTTACAGCCAAAAGCATCTCTACTTCAGGAGAAATACGTTTGATGATATCACTGACACGTGACAGTATACACTATGAAACCAAATCAAATCAAAGAAACTGAAATTAATGACAATGACTTATACGAACAAGATCAAGATTAGTAATGAAAAGTGTTAGCGTCTGAAAAAGGATTCGACATGAATGTCCTGTGTCTGTTTATTAGGGTTTTCTCATTAAAGTTACATGACTTCATTGATATTCCCCTCAGCTCATGATGAAATCATCCATGCAATTTCCCTATACACAAGTAAAGTATTCTTCAGGTGTATGCGTATTTTTGTAAAATGTTTCACGACCATGAGTATCTTCAAGTGACTACTTCTCAAATTTTTACCATTCTAATTTATTCGATGAAGACACGAAATGCATCAGTGAGTTATTCGCTTCATCATTGATACAGCATGCATTCATTAAGATGTCTAATGACCCCAGTTTCCGCTGAATGTCACCCTTCCAAAAGTTCCTTCGTATTTTTCCAGCCTTCAGGATGTAAAATTGGTAGGAGGGTATTAGCGTGGACACATATCTTCGTTAGTAAGATCTCCAGTCTCCTGTGACAAATCAAATATCACTACTTTTGTTGCTATATATCTTGGGTTGTTTTTGAATCGTCAAAATGAGTATTTCTAAAATGATGATTGAATGATACCTTTCAGTAAGGAGGTGTGTGGATTCTAGCTCTCTCATTTGCTGGGGAATCAAAGGGTCACATTTGAAGAAGTGAAACTGTTCTTCTACAACATTTTTGGTTGATTATATAAATCTGTTGGGTTATTAGACTTACATATCCGTATATATATATATATATATATATATATATATATATATATATGGTAAGAAAAGACCAAGGGGTTTAACATATGGCTATATTTAGAGATGACTCAAGCCTATTTATCACAGTTAAACACCCACACAAATGAAAGTTACAGGATAATTATGAAAAATTTCACAGTATTGAATATAAGGCAATTTCAAAATTCAGTATATACCCTATTCAACACAACAGGCATCATTTCTATATCCCCATCATCTCCGAGTAATGAACATAAAAATATAGGCGATAGTGATCATGTTGTATTTACCTTCTATCATAACCTTATAAGTCTCCAATCTTCCACTTACTTGATCATTTTCGAATTCATGCTCAAATAGTGAAGTTATTCACAATGTTTATTGTCTCACATTTTAGACACGCCTTGTTTCTCAAATAATAGTATGTAACTAACATAACGCATTTATACAGAGCAGCATTTAACATATTACTCTAGAAAAAATGTTAAACTCTCTTGCTCTTGAATATACATTCCTCTACAAGTCATCTAAAAATGTCAAAAAGTGTTATAATTAGAGTCAGTCAGTTATAGACGTGATGCACAAGAGATTACATATTCTAACCATCTTAAGTGAAGTCTAGAGACTTTGGTAACAGTATGACAGGCGAATAAGTAACACATACGTGACATAGTTACTACTGGTGATGTTGTCGTACACATATTAGTTTGATTATTAAATGTATCACACAGTGAAACAGTATTGTATACTGGATGACGTTTCGAACACAACTTATTGTTCATAATCATATCAATTTTTGTCACACGACTTAGAGATTTGAGTTTTATGGTTTTCTTTATCGTCTCCTATTTGTCGTATGGGCAGTAGAATTTTCCACATATCTGGGACAGGTGTTGAATCGTTTCTATTACATGTATTTGCCGTTGATTCGATAAACAAAGCTTCTGTTATCAATCTCTCCCTATACCCTGTGACATTAGATTTTAAAACTGTCATCCTATCCCATCCTATTGTATGGTTGCGTGTAACTGCATGTAGAGCTGTAGCTGAACTATTTTCTAGATTTCTTATCTTTTTTGAGTCAACCAACCTAGATTTTGCTAGGTTTTTATGTTCGGATAGTCTGACTTCCCCTGTTCTACTAGTTTGACCTATGTATTTGACCTCACAATCATTGCAGGGTATTAGATAAACTAAATTGTTTTGTTTTAATGGCTCTACAGGATCCTTTAACCGACAAAGCTTGTTTCTAATTGAGTTTGTGGGTTTGAATGCCACTTTTATTCCTGCCTTGTTAAGAATTCTGCGTAAGGCTTCCGAGGTTCCTTCTTTGTATGGAATTATTGTTGATGATTTACATTCCTTATTGTTGGTGTCGTTATTAATATTATTATTATTACTATTATTATTACCATTATTATTATTGTTATTATTATTATTATCACTATCTCTGTTATCATTATTTATTTTATTTTTACATTTACTTACATATTTCTTGACTAATTTATCCGGGTAATTATTAAGTTTCAAGGCTTCTTTTATGTGTGTCACTTCCTGTCTTAGATTTTCCTTGGTACTACTTAGTTTTTGTGCTCTGTCATTTAAACATTTCACTAATCCTATTTTTACTGACATAGGATGGGATGATCGGAAATCCAAATATCTGTTTGAATGTGTGGGTTTTCTGTAAACACTAGTGTTTAGCTTCCCATCTTCTTAGAACAGGGGCAGTCAGACTAGCCGAACATAAAAACCTAGCTAAATCTAGATTGGTTGACCCGAATAAGATAAGAAATCTAGAGAGTAGTTCAGCTATAGCACTACATGCAGTTACACACAACCATACAATAGGATGGGATAGGATGACAGTTTTAAAATCTAATGTCACAGGGTATAGGGAGAGATTGATAACCGAAGCTTTGTTTATCGAATCAACTGCAAATACATGTAATAGGAATGATTCAACACCTGTCCCAGATATATGGAGAATTCTACTGCCCATACAACAAATAGGAGAAGACAGAGAAAACTATACAAATCAAATCTCGAAGTTGTCGTACACAGCATTTTCGGATATGTCGAGTATAATGGGAATCGTAAATAGACGAGTCTTTAAATGATTCGCTCATTAGACTGTTAAAGTGTTAACATTCAAAGCACTCACTTTTAGTTTGTCATATCTAGTTTTTATAGATTTTGATTTCCTGTAAATGTCACAGGCTAACTGAGGGATAGGTAAATGTAATCGATTCATACATACAACTTCACGAAATAGAGATTTTATTCTGAAATCCAAGTTGATGCATTCATGAATCTCTTCATTGTGTTTAACCATCGTCATGACTGGAACATTCAAAATTTGCAGATCATTTTGAATCTGAAAAATGTTAAAATCAGTAATACAATATCTTATTTCAGTATCCACAACTAAGTAATTTGTGGCTGTCAGTGAACAAGATAAATGTGGATAAATTTATAACGAGAAATCAGATTCAGCTCCTAAAGTACTTGCAGATAGACTGATAAATTGCACTCGATAGAATGACTCAACTCTAAACACTACGGATTCATAGAGCAAAGCGGATAGCCGAACTGAAACTCGTGTGCCAAAACTCAAGTTTCAGATTATGTGGTTCGAAGTTTTCAATAGTTAGTCACAAACCAACTTTGTTTTAACGCATAACAATCACGTGTTGTTTTAAAAATTCTCATGCTTCAGCGTTCCATATTATAAAATAAGAACACTGGTGTTGATGCAGTACTACTGTGTGGTTTTCCAAATGACACAACCGAAAACACATTTAGCCACTGAAAACGCTCTCCTGAGAGAAAACTCTATCTTAATCAAAACAAAATTTTGAGTGAACAGTTGTTTTGGATAACTTCTTCTTCAGGCTCTACAGTTATAAATCCATGAGTAATAGAGTACATATAGCCAATAAAGGCAAATGAAAATAATATCAGAAACTGTATTGGGGTACATGTGTAAGTTGAGGTGATAGTCCATTAGTTAGAACAAGACATATAAGCGAACAATATTGTTTTCAATTAGATCTTCTTCAGGCTTTACTCTAATTTACATAGACTTATATATATAAAATTTTAACCAATGACGGTGATTTAGTGGATCAAATAATAATAGTAATCATAATAATAATAATAATAATCATAATAATATTAGTAATAATATTGTGGTAAATGTTTTGAACGAAGTTGATAGCGATGATTATAATAATAACAAAATATTGTTAATAAGGCTTATATAGGTGATAAGAATAACAAAGTTAGTATACGCATATATGTAGACAATTCAATAAATAAATAAATTAGGTCAAATCAAATGGAACGATAATCAGAGTTTAAATAAAAATCATAAAAGTACGAAGGAGAGGGATGATAAGAAAGGGTGGGAGGGTTTTGAATAGAATTCACCTAGGCCAAGGGAGAGACAAAGGTAGAACAAATTTCTTTTGTATACAAAGGCTAGGATTGTTCTCTTGAATTCCCATAGCTTCGGCTAAGTGTAAAAGACGGGTTCTGATTCCGTTCGAAAGACTTGATGGAATGCGGTAAATAACTCTGAAAGCACTATTTTTGTCCACTTGGTGACCACTATCAATCAAATGAGCCAAAATAGAACTTCGTATGGACTTTATTTGACCTTTTCCGAACCATGAAGGAAGATGCTCATTAATGCGTTTGTTAAGCTGTCTAGTTGTTCGGCCTATATAGCTTTCTCCACAGGAGCAACTAAATTTATAGATACACATGGAAGTGGCACAACTAGGTAACTTATCTTTCACTTGAGCAATCAAAATTGGCCGGCTGGAAAATGACAAACAGAGGGTGGCGGCAGTATAAGTCCGTTTTATCGCTCTCGATAATCTCTGATGTAAGACTTCACTAGCCACGTCCCCATTAAATTGCAGTTTCATGAACAGTTGTTTCTTTTTAACTGTTGTCGGTTTCTCTTTATTGCACTTAGCATTCATGTGTCTCCTGACAAATCTACTAGGATAACCCATTTGGACTAACGTATTTTGGATGTATCCTAGCTCATTCTCTAGAGAGTCATCTGTACAGATGCGTCTTGCTCTATTCGTCAGGCATCTGACCAAATTGACTTTGTAACGGATTGGTACATAACTGAGGAAATGTGTATATTGTCCTACAGATGTAGGTTTTCTATAGACATCTCTCTTTAGTGAACCATCCTCTCTTCTGCTCAATTGGACGTCAAGAAAATGTAGTCCACCATCATATTCTTCTTCACAAGTGAAGATAAGCGATGGATGTGCATCGTTAAACTTTTTTAACATTTCATTCTTGTCAGCTTTCACATCAAGAATAATAAAGGTATCATCAACATAACGAAAATAAGAATCAGCTTTTTCTATTACTTTTTTCAATGGACCATTTTCAATCTTGGCAAGAAAGAAATCTGCTAAAATTGGCCCCAACGGAGAACCCATGGTTAAAATTTTATATATATAAGTCTATGTAAATTAGAGTAAAGCCTGAAGAAGATCTAATTGAAAACAATATTGTTCGCTTATAAGTCCATTAGTTAGCATAGTCAATTTAATGTGTAAAGGGTGTATTGCCAGAAAAATGTGATGAAGTGTGAATGATGAATTGGGTGACATAGTATTCTTTTATACCTAACAGAATAAAAGTGTCCTTGGGGTGAGAAAAATGCGATAACCACAAAATACATACAAATACACATTAACATAGGAGGCACTGGATGTGAGGGCTGACAGAATTGGTAGGCTTAGTATAAAATCATAAAGGTTGACAGAAATAAGGGTAACAATGAGGTGAAATAAACTGGGTGGAGAAATGGATAATAAATACATGATATCACAAAATAATAATAATGATAATAATAGTGCGAAAAAATTATGATCCTGGTGACCTTATAGTAGGCCAGGGTAGAGAATGAATAATTTTCTTCTGTACACATAGATCTGGTCTCTCTCTATTAATCTCTAAAGCCTCAGCTATGGCTAGGAGGCGTAATCGTGTGCCTTTGGGGAGATTGTTCGGTACTCGATACACAACTGTAAATGACTCATCTACTTTGATGCTGTGTTCGCTATCCACTAGATGAAACAGAATTGCACTATTTAGTGATTTGGTTGCTCTTTTCCCAAGCCAAACACGAATATGTTCACGAGTGCGTAAAGATAAATTCCTCTGGGTACGACCTATATAACTAGCTCCACAGGAGCAGTTGAATTTATACACACACATTGATGTCGCCATTTTGGGCAATCTATCTTTAATGCACGGTGTCAATATCGGTTTGGTTGAGAAGCTGACATACAGTTTTGCGGCATTTTAATCACTTACATTCAATTCACAGTGTCCATTCAATTAAAAACAAGTGTATAATGGCGTTCATCTTAATTTTCTAAAATATTCTCATACTCGTCTGCCATTCACATAAGAATTCACAATGTCAGAAGTGAAATTTACTTATCGTTGAAAGGATGAAATTTCACTTGATATTCAACACATACACTCGCAAAGAGGTTTTTTCGTGTCTGCAAATGAAATGTAGGATGGAGAAACTAAATGAAGTATAGTAGGCAAGTCTGGGTGGGGAATGAACCATTTTTTTGGCACAGCTGAAATAGCACATGAAGATGACAGATAGAATTCTTACTTCACGCTCACTAAGGAAAATCAATGAATTTTCAACTCGCTCAGTATTTCCATTGATTGAAGGTCCCTGTTAGTGACATAGGCTGAGAGTCATGTTACAAACTGAAATAAATATGATGTTTTGAAAGAAAGAAGTAAACAGAAATATGTAAGTGAACAATTATGAGGAAATTGGACCTCTTCACATGACTTATAACGCAATTACGGATACATAACAGACATGAGAGTTCTTACTTCATTAACCCAGCTTCTGTACACCGATATTTCATAAGTAACCAGAGTTTCAAGAACTTTGTTATATTTCCGGGTCAATTTGTGAACATAATTTTCACACCCCATCATATTAACATAACCGGAGACTTCAGACATTAGTTCTGAAAGACGAAGGTAGTGGTTACGTGCCCAGTAAATACGACCTGAAAGTAATGAAGATAATAGTAAATTTAAATGCATAACATAATCTACAGAGTCAGGAATAACCTATCAAAGGCAATACAGTTTCATCTTCTTTGTATCGCTGAAGCTCCGGCAATTAACATAGAAAAACCGGAGCTGTGCATACAAAAGAGGATTACTCAACCACTTCTACTGTCATGGTAACAACTTTGTTGATTGTCGATGACTGACTTAATTTTGTTTGTTTGCCTGTTCTTCAGTTGCTTAAAATTCTTGTATTCATTTAGAACTGTTTCGTAATTTCGTATTATCTACTTTGTTCCTACATTGCGTCCTGAGTAGAACTCACTCATAAGGCTATTCATATTATTACATAACTTCTTTTAACAACAGTTTGTGACAACTCATCACCTTTGTTATTAACCTAATTTCATTAACACCCGATTTTCTTGACTGATTTCGTATTACGTAACTCCAGTTAGCGATCTCCACCTGTTTATTTGAAGTAACCATGACTAATTGTAATTTTGTTTGACAAACTTAATGTACACACACATACAAAATAACACATATATATTTGCGATTGCACAGCTAAGGTGGAAAATGAATTCGCCGAAAAGAGAATCTTCGCGGAACTACGTGTTTTGTTTTCATTAATGCCTTGATGGGATTATCCAAGAGCATAACTATCTAACTGTAATTTTCAGCTTATAACAACTTATAAATCTTGATGTGGTTTTGTTCTCTGAGCTGGATGGTTAGTTTGCGAAGCTTTCATCACCTTACTGGGTGACATCTTCAGCGCATACTTCAATTTGAAGTGAGCTTTTAGATTTCTCCACGAGTTTATTAATCATCTCTCCTGGTGACCTTGGACGTGATTGGTTGTTTGTGTGTGTTTTCACACCTTCTAGGTTACTTGTATTGGAACCGGTTGTTTCTTTGACTTAAACTTTGACCCTTTGTGTGTGGAGTTTCTTTCTTATTGATTGATAAATTTTGTCTATCTCGATGTGTCTATTGATTGATGATCCACTGGAATGCCAAGCTTCTAAAAATTCTCTAGCATTCTTGTTATTTCCTTTGTCCAATATTTGAACGTTGTCCCAGTCGAATTGATGTCCGTAGTTGTCTGTGTGTAGTGAAATGAGGGAGTGGATATCATGTCTTTTGACGGCTAGCTTATGTTCGTGGATACGAAGACGAAGGGGACGTCCACTTTGGCCGATGTAGTGTTTTTCGCAGTTGTTACAGTTTATTTTGTAGATGATGTTGGTTTTGTCTTCTTTCGCTGTTGAGTCTTTCGGTTGACATAGAATTGAGTGCAGTGACTTTGTTGGTTTGTGTACGGCGTCAATTCCTAAAGGTTTGAAGAGTCTTGTAGTGATTTCTGAGATATCTTTTATATATGGTAAGGCAATTTTCTTTGTGCTTTCCTTGGTGGCTTTTGCTTTGGTAGGTTGGCTTGGGGGTATATGTCTCTTGATGAAATTCCGTGGATATCCATTCTTTTGGAAGACGTCCATGAGATACTTTGCTTCAATTTTTCTTAAGGTGGGAGTGCTGCAGTGAGTCCTTGCTCTCTTGAATAGTGTTTGTATGCAATTCCTTTTGTGTGTTATTGGGTTGTTGCTGTTGTAATTCAGTATTTGGTCTGTGTCTTCTCTATCATATCTAAATCTTACGAGCGGGATACGCTTCTCTCTGTTCGAAAGTGGGAAGACTTCGCCAAAAGGCAAGGATCCACCAGAGAACAATTATTCTTTCTCCATGAGTGCCTTCGTCATTCAATCCTACCAAACAGTGTAAGATACAAACCACCAGTCAACTGCCCAATGGGATGGAAATTGGCCGAACAATGTGGAAGACGAATGGTCAAATTAATGATTACAGACGCACATTATCGGATCAACAAATATCAACAAATTATAGATATCCAAAAAGCAAAATTAGAGAAAACCCTCAACCAGGAACACCTGTCAACGCTGATCACCGCAATTACACTGTCAAGTGAAAAACACAGAGAACAAAGACGAAGAGTCCTCAAAACCAAGCTAGCCAAGATTAGAAAACAACAACCAGACAATACGCCCATAGACTGCGTAGTCAACCTATCAAAACAACCACTATCAAAAATGGAACAACAACTACTACAAAAAGGATTAAACTACAACACCGGAGATGCTTCAAAAACTGATTTCTTCGCTGCCTTTGAATCATTACTCAAATCATCAAACTTGAACGAGGAAACACAGGAAGAGATACGCCAAACAATTGTACCAATGGTCAAACAGAAAAGACAACACACACAACTCAACGCTCAAGAACTAAAGGCCCTCAAAAAGCTGAAAAATAGGAAGGACATCGTCATTTTACCAGCCGACAAAGGAAGAACAACAGTAGTCATGGACAGAGAAGAATATACCAAGAAAGCTGAAGAACTACTCAAAGATGAAGATGTATATCAACAACTCCCAACAAATCCCATACAAACATTGGATAACCGCATCCAAAGGACCTTAAACAAGCTCACCAAAACTGGACAGATCACAAAACAAGACCAATGGCGAATGAAATCCAATGGACCAGTCCTACCCCGATTCTACGGCAGACCCAAAATACACAAGGCAAATATCCCATTACGACCAATTGTATCACTCCCAGGAACTCCAACATATAATTTATCCAAAGAATTATACAGAAAACTAAAACACCTAACGGAATCTTGCGATCACTCCATCAACTCTGCTATCCAATTCCTAGAGAAAATCAGAGGCATCCAAATAGATGAACAAGAAATAATGGTATCATTCGACGTGACAGCATTATATACATCCATCGGACAAAACCTAGCAAAAGAAACCATGGAGCAACTACTTAGCAACGACGAACAACTGCCACAACAATCAAAAATGCAACACACAAGCTGGATGGAATGCATAAATCTATGCCTAACAACATACTTCCAATTCAACGGCCAAATATATGAACAAGTCAAAGGAACACCCATGGGATCGCCAATATCAGGTTTGATTGCAGAAGCAGTGATGCAAAGACTCGAAAATATAATTCTACCAAAGATCAAACCCAAGATTTGGATACGCTACGTCGACGACACATTTGTAATCATCAAAAGAAACGAATTAGATAAAACTCACAACTTAATAAACAACGTCTTCAACGACATCAAATTCACAAGAGAAGAGGAATCCGAGAACAAAATACCATTTTTGGACGTCTTAGTCAGGCGAACAACTACAGGAGAATTAGAAACTCAAGTTTATAGGAAATCAACTCACACAGACCAAATACTGAATTACAACAGCAACAACCCAATAACACACAAAAGGAATTGCATACAAACACTATTCAAGAGAGCAAGGACTCACTGCAGCACTCCCACCTTAAGAAAAATTGAAGAAAAGTATCTCATGGACGTCTTCCAAAAGAATGGATATCCACGGAATTTCATCAAGAGACATATACCCCCAAGCCAACCTACCAAAGCAAAAGCCACCAAGGAAAGCACAAAGAAAATTGCCTTACCATATATAAAAGATATCTCAGAAATCACTACAAGACTCTTCAAACCTTTAGGAATTGACGTCGTACACAAACCAACAAAGTCGCTGCACTCAATTCTATGTCAACCAAAAGACTCAACAGCGAAAGAAGACAAAACCAACATCATCTACAAAATAAACTGTAACAACTGCGAAAAACACTACATCGGCCAAAGTGGACGTCCCCTTCGTCTTCGTATCCACGAACATAAGCTAGCCGTCAAAAGACATGATATCCACTCCCTCATTTCACTACACACAGACAACTACGGACATCAATTCGACTGGGACAACGTTCAAATATTAGACAAAGGAAATAACAAGAATGCTAGAGAATTTTTAGAAGCTTGGCATTCCAGTGGATCATCAATCAATAGACACATCGAGATAGACAAAATTTATCAACCAATAAGAAAGAAACTTCACACACAAAGGGTCAAAGTTCAAGTCAAAGAAACAACCGGTTCCAATACAAGTAACCTAGAAGGTGTGAAAACACACACAAACAACCAATCACGTCCAAGGTCACCAGGAGAGATGATTAATAAACTCGTGGAGAAATCTAAAAGCTCACTTCAAATTGAAGTATGCGCTGAAGATGTCACCCAGTAAGGTGATGAAAGCTTCGCAAACTAACCATCCAGCTCAGAGAACAAAACCACATCAAAATCATCCACCTGAGCTTCGAATCTTCTCTATCATATCTAACTTATAAATCACATTTCCAATGATCTACCTTCAAGATTTTAAAGATACATATGACTGGCTATCGTCAAGCATAAGTTATCACTATTATTGTCTTAACTATCAAAAATTCAAGTATAGTCAAACTAGAAATACTGTTTTAATAGAAAGGATTGTCATGGAATCGGATGAAAAATGGATTTTTTTAAATCAGGAAGGCGATGACATAACGAAAGTTGTCATCAGTAAGAAGTGTGGATTTTCATTTGGTGTCTAACATATCATTTAGACATATTTATCAGAAATTAGAATAAACTGCTCATCTGACAAATAATTTCTTACACTTACCCGCAAAACAGGGACTGTCTCGTGGAATATCTGCTGAATAACAGTTTTCATTATACAGTGTAATTACGCTTTCCATTTCATTATTAAATGTTGAAAGTAAATGTTGACAGTGTTGCTGTCGATTGACGATTGGAAGTTGTAAGTGAACAACATTATTTAATCGCTTCAAATACACTTGAATATTACAGTCTTGATTTAGATAACGGTCGACAGCAGTTGTAATGCTCTTCTAGTATGAAAATGACAAATAAAATTATTCCTTTGCGGGGAAATTGTGCAGCAAAATACAGCTCTTTGAAAATATTCTAAGAATACGTAACCGACTTTCAGCTACAAACAGAGTCCGTAGAAAAAGGGTAGAACTTAGCTGTCGCAGGACTAGTCATTCATTTAGCTCCATGAAATTATCAGTCCTCTATCTATTTGCAATCTTAATACTCTTTTGTAAACGAAATTATATTTAATTAAATGTAGCTGGAATGAACTACGTTATGTAGCATAAATATGTTGAAAACTGTTACCGATAAGTTCTAAACCTTTTCATGAAGTTACTGATGTAAAAGCGAAGTTTTGAGAGGGCGATAAAGTATAACTGCAGACTAATATGGATCGCCAAAGTCACAATAATAATTGTAGCTTGATAATGTGTCCACAAGAATAATCGCTGCGTTATCGTCACATAAGTAAAAGAAAGAAATGTTAAATAGATCTACACTGATGGCTTAAAGTGTTCTCTTGAAAAGAAATGTTTCGAATTCCATGGAAGGAAAATACGTGTTCTCACCAAAATTGCTCTCCTATTTAGTGATCATTATTTCATTAAAAGTTTACAAATAAATAATAAGATTATTTCATAAAATGGTGCAGAACACTAACAAGGAAACTCAAATAATTTTATTCCCTTCCTAGTGGACACAATACAGTCTAGAACAGTTTCACCATTATCTCATTCCATATCCCTGTGTATGTCTGAGTTGACCACATATTGAGTGAGGGGTGAAGAGTCAATATTGTTTACGGGGATGTATTGCATTTCACATTTTACTACAACCAATACGTTATCAAGATGGATACATACCTTAGGAGGGTGTTTGATTTAGAAAAATCAAAACAAAATACATTCTCCGCATTTTCGCTTACAGAGTTGCCTACTTTGAATGTATCCGGAAAACTTATACCTATCCAGTTGTCAATGCAATAGATCCAGTTTTAGAATAGGCTTGACTAAGTTATTATATACAAACTATGATACTGTACACTTAGCAGTACTGACACTTTGATAATATTATTCATATTTCATAACAAAAACTCCCTAGAATTGATCGTTCAAACTACAGAAGTGAATGAGGATAATGAGTATAAAGTAGTGAATCATCGTCAGACAGCTTGAAAATTTAACTCAGACGCTGATTAAGGCAGGAAGCTAGATCAAAACCATCAAACGAACTCTGATCATGATGATCAGCCCCTCATTTACCTACAGAAAACATGCAGACGTACAGGTGACTGATCAGTGAAGGCAAACAACATGTTGATTGGCTATCCAAATACAGTAGAATAAATGTGTCCAAATTTCAGTCAACTCAGAATTCTGGCTTTTAAATGATTTAGAAATACGTTGTTTACCGTCTATCGTACAGGTTAAATATGACTGTATACATGATGGAAAAGTAAGCACTTATAGATTTATTCACAACAAGATTTTGTTTATATCAGGTGGACACTTACTTGTAATTCTTCGATACCTTGGGAAAATTCCTGCAAAGCCTTGTTAATGCAGCCATCACTGGTTATAATTGATTCAAATCATGTGTTGAAATATTTTGTTTTATTATCTTCAGTTGTTCTATGTAACTGGTATTTTTTTCTACGAAGAAATGTGAATGTAATGTAAAAATGAGGGGGTACTTGAAAAGAGCTTCACATGCTCTATACATGATTTCAAAACATGGAAATTATTGAATAATCGGCTGCAATTGAGATTTTTCCCCTTTCCTCCATAGTTATCTGTTATGAACTATTCATATGTCATATCAGTGAACTGCTTTCTCTTTCTCTTTCTTACACTTCGAATTTTCACAGTCAATTAGTTTCTGTCTCAGTTGCATTCAAAAGCATCTTTTCATACTAACCCTTAGATTTACTCGCTATCCCCGGTAGGTGATCTTTGGGCATAAGCATTCACCTCAGATTTTGTTCACTTTTTATGCGACTCACGTATGGCTAATTCTATTCACTGTTGATAAAGTTACGAGAATAACTAAGTCTCTTGATGAGGGTGAAAGTTAGTTAGTAAATTGTACACTTCTAAATTATTTTATTTCCCTTTCTTCTTTAACTGATTTTGGTATCTGCAGTCACTAGGAAAAAAGCGGAACATTCTTTAATTACTTCAAACGTTTTGAGGTGACAAACAGTAATATATACTTTATTTTGCCTCTTTTTGGATATACTGTACATCAAATAGAGATACCAGAGTTTAATTCATGTAGTTCTTGCTGTAATGACTCCCATCAGAATCCATGATTCACTTAAACCTAGTAAATGAAAATGAGAAGTCTACTAATCTCCTTTACTTCGATTTCAGATTATTCACAAACAGAAAATGTTAAATTTAACGGTTACAGGAAGAAAGAGTTTGACATTCGGACAAGAAAGAGCAAGCTGATCTTCCAGTGAATGGGGATTCCTTCTTCAAGCAGTTGTACTGAAGTGTAATATAAATATCTACAGAATAATGGAATGGCATTATCAACAACTTAACACATTGACATTCAGTTAGTTTTAACTATCCAGACTCAGCAAAATCCACCGTACTGATAATATAAGGGGTTGAATGAAGCCTTTTATTTAACGGACGAAGCAATGTAATCCATTTTCTGTTATCGTTAATTAGAAGGATTAATGAAAAGAGAACATTTTAGTGAATGAACAATTCGAGATTTAGGGAAATGCTGAGGCAAAACTTGTATCCTACCACTATTGTCGAGGAAAACATGAAATCCAAATGATAAATGGCACCGATTTCTACACCCCACCAAAAGAACATGATGCTGGTTATGAGTTTTATATTCAGCAGCAAACTGAGGTAGGAGTTTTCAACAACCGTCTACCTTAATCTCACATAAGAACATTATATCATTTACAATCTTGTCTTTTCAGGTCAGTGGCTGATTCATGCGTGTGAGTTTGCACGCTTTTTTCAGCCCCATTTCTTATAACTACGAATATATACAGGTATTTGCGTCGGTGGCACAGTGGTTAGGACTCTCACCGACCATGCACATGATCCGAGGTTCGATCCTCTGCCAACGCACACCTGATATCTATGGTCGGCCTGCAAAATTTGGGCTACAGATATCACATGCTGAAAATTCCATACTTGTACCAAAAATACAGTGTGGAATCGAGCTGTAATCAAAAATAGAAAAAAAATTTTTTTAAAATCACTTAGTGTTGTATAATCACCTTTTTTCCTAATCCTATAATAACTTTATCGTGCAAGATAAGGTCCAGTTAGCCCGCCTACACTACTATCAACAAATTAAATCCCTGCATTGAGTCGTATTTATCAAGCATAGTGTGACTGAACAAAGACTCACCAATCAGTCAGGTTAATTATTTACGCGTTTAGATTTATTCGGGCTAAACATAGTTCTCACATAGTTCATTCAATCGAACAATCTACAGATGCCGTTGATAGGCTAGTGGAGGATTATTTGTTTAACTTTCGACGTCTACAACTGATATCGGTAGTATCATTAGATGGAAATCCAACATGATATGCACTGTCGGATCTATTTGAAAGAATATACTTGAAGAGCCCACGTGATTCTGGTGAATTTATCAAGCCATAGTACTAACAGCTTGTCACCGGATGTTCAAATTTCGCCACATCCAAAATCTTGTTGATTATGCCATTAAAATAAAGTGCATGGGATGAATATCACAGTTTCAAGACAACGTCACAGTAGTCTATATCAAGGGTACAGAGGTCTGAAAACCAAAATGAATTCTAATGCCAAGCTTTTTAGCTCACATATTCATAGGTTTCTTTGCTGCCTGAGACTTGAAAGAGGAAAATATAGTGGTTAAGTTCGTCCAGTGATGGCTGATAAAAGACAAGTATTATGCAGCTCATAACACCGATACATATTTATTCCATCTCGACAGAAATACAATTATTAATGCTACAGATAGTGGAGGAATAGCTCGCTAACATAAATTACTCCTGTCAGCCAAATGGCTTTTTGAAGTTTGCAAAATTGGCTGATCATTCACATGTTTTGAACTTTACTAATAAGCGAATCAAAAAAGGGGAGGAGCTGTGTTACGATTGTAATTCGGAATTCGAAGGTGAAAGTGAGAAGATAGCATGTATTTGTAAGGCTCTTGATTGTCAAAAATGCATGACCTAACATCTTTTCAGACTATCGTTTTGCTGTATATAGGCAAATTTCGTTCTGCATTATTAAACATGGTTTAGTCTTTCTTAAGAAACAACTTTTTATTCAGTATAATTTTTAACCTCTTTTCATCCTTCAAGTAAAAATCTACACTTCATGAAACTTATTATCATAGATTTTCTCATATATAGTGTATTCATTGTACTTATTTGTTATTGTTTTGGTGTTTTCTGTATTATATGCTTGTAAAACTACATCCTATTTCTTGAATATATATAGCTGCGATTGTTACTGTTATGTGTCACATGAGATGCCAGCGTCCGATACTCAGACGAGGAGCAAAAGGCTATATCAGTGCATGAGTAGTTATAATAATAATGCTGCGATTTGATTTTTATGAGAAAATGAGATACGTAATTAAACTAAGGATGAAATTTATGTGACACTAATTTGACTGGTTACATGAAGTCTGGTGTGTGGCCGTCCAGTCACGCTATTATAAATCTAGTGAGTAGGCCCATTGATTTAAATTTACTGACAGTGATTTAAACTGGTCGAAGCTTGGCTTAGCGTGAGAAAGGTATTTATTTTAAGATTAGTCGAAATCAGGCGCATATGGTAGTAACTGCTTTTTCCAGTAGATCATACAGTTCACCAGAGATATGAGGACTTGTGTGACACGGTATTCATTTACCTATACTCACTTCCATTTTGTTCATGCTACCTAGAGTTCGAGTGAGAGATCTATTTGATTCCGTGTCAAAGTGCTGCCTTATTTACAATTTCTCTGAATGGTTTTAAAATGAGTTTGCACATCCTGAAGCGGAGTTTTAGATGCGATTTTATGAAAGTTTGAAGTTGTGGGTCCAGAAGCAGTACGTTCAATAGAAATAATAATAATGGTAGTAATAATAATATTCGTAATAGTAGCATTGTAACAACAGAAGACAAGGGCCGGAAACAAATCCTTTTATTACGGAAATCAACACGTATTTATATATATTTCCTGTACATTATTATAGCTTATTCAAGCAAATAAACACAGTCTCCTGATTGGTTGTTTCTGGTTTCTCGGAAAGTGAACCATCTATCTGCGAATCTTATTTGCCCACGTTAAGTCTGCTGTGACTAGTTGTTGAATCAGCTTTGTTCATATTTTCTCACGGCCAATATTAGTAACCTAGACATTGACGTAAATTAATGTCTACCAATTGTCTAGCAGCCTATTCTCACCACAGTATTAGAAATAATACTGAAAGCTGTGACATGCATCTTCACAGAGAAAGCATTAATAGCGGTACTTGATGAGTTTGGAGTGAAGGAAAAGTGTTCAGAACCGAAATCAATGGATGTAGCTCTGCCGGTACCCTGTCATCAGTTAATTAAATTAAATTAATTAAACCTTTACAAGAAAGTTACAGCTTCGAATCAGCTGAGATCCACCTAGACCGAAATTTACATCCAACAGGTGTGAATGCACAATCAAGATCACTAGAAATTAGTCCCCATTCACAATTTGAAATAGCCGCTCTTTGAGAAGCGTGAATGTTATCAGATAACAGGCTGACATTTACATTATCAGTTAGTTTTGGAAAATGGTCAATATTTTGTGAAAATATTGCCAAATCACAATTTTTCATTGAAAGAGTATTTAAATTCGAAGGATAATATTTTATTTTCAAGAATTAGTTGGAAGGGATTCTACTTGTTTCAGGTGAGACCACGGACTGATATCAATTAGAGAACCATTGAAAACCAAAAATTACTGGACAGCTGTTTCACCCCAGTAGGTGCGCACTGCCGATGAGTCCCAAACTAGGATGAAACAGCCGTCCAGTACTCCCTGGCTTTCAATGGTTTTCCAACACATAAAATTCATGTTAAGTTAATTTTATTTTCAGTCCCACCATAAGCTGGTATGTGATTTTTTTATGTCTGTTACCTGACCCATCGCCGCAGCAACACAAACAGACAAGCATTATGTATCAAGAGAAGTTAATGGTGTTCTAGACAGGTATGATTTTCTGAATCGATTAGTTTGCGAACTAGATGAGTTAGGCGAATTATATGTCGGATAAACATCTTTGTTTTCTATTTCACCGCAAACATTCACACAAATTGAAGGTGGAGATGCCGAATAAACTACACAATGCTTACTTTTCAGCCAATTTTAGTAATTACAAGTCCAATTTCCTATTGGTGGCAAAGATGCTAGCTTATGAATAGTAGATGCGGGTAAACGACACAAGAAAGCTGAAGAAGCCTGTTTAGAGACTGCTGACACTTGAAGAGTGTCGTTGACTAAGATAAGTACATGACGTAGACTTAGTCGGTTGTGTAGCGTCAAATGTGGCTGCAGCATAACAATCATTGCTCTTTCTGAATTCGTAGACAACAGGTGCAGATACTGTATTTCCACTTTAGTAACAGCTAAACTCCTCAGTATACCACACAATAAAGTACATATAATTCTTAATAGCCAGTTCTCTGTATTCTGCATCCAGCCATTTAATAAAGCACAACAAGCACCAATAAACATCAAGGGGGAAATATTAACGAAGACACTTCTTTCACTTGCCTAGCCAGCATCGTTTCAACTATAGATAGCACAGATAAGGATTTCAAAGACAGGATCTAAAAAGCAAGACTGATCTTCACTACTCTTGAATCATGTGGAAATCTGCTGCAATCAGCATTAAGAACAAAATTAAGATTTTCAACATTATTGTCAAGTCAGTCACTGCTTCTGTATGGTTCAGAGACTTGGCACACGCGTGGTATGAAAGCATTCCCAACAGGCTGCTGCAGACTTTTATCAGCGTCTGTATTCCCTTGATACCGAAGATCAAATGAACAGAAAGGATGGGCAACAAGAAACTGTGTCAACGAATCGACCAAGAACCTATCGCCCATCTAAAGGAAATGGAGATAGATTGAATGTACGCTGAGGAGACTGTTAACTAACATTATACACCAGACCCTCAAGTGTAACCTGAATGAGAAACTTCGAGTTTGGCGTCTATTGACGATAATGGGAATATCACGCTAAGAGGAAATTAAGGCTTATGAGCAGTGGAAATGACGACAAAGAACAGAATGCAGTGAAGATATGCTTGCGAAGTCATATTTTCCATTCAGAACGCAAGAAACTAATAATAATAATGGTGATATACATAGTTACACAGAATACTAGTGCAAATTATGTAGGGAAAAGCTGCAGAAACTGAACGTACCATCAAAAGGTAGTAAATGTAGAAACTCATAAACTTTCAAATTTTCTGAGATGAGCTTCAATGCTTTCAATCGTGAACATAGTTGGTCAAAACTTGCGAATATCTGGTTCCTGGATAGTTTTTTGCTTATTTTATTTTGTTCTGTAAAATATCTTGTAAATAAGGCTTGACAAACTTCATTTAGCTTTATGCAGTCGTCTAATTTTCGAAGAAACTCATCGTCTAGTTTTTTCTCGATATTTCCTTTATGACTGTTGTATAATAGATGAAATTTACAGTTTACAACTATTCGATTGATAACCTGTCGTTGTAGTCATTATTTAAAATAAAATAAAAATAAACAAAAATTAGAAATTCAGAAGTTTGGTATATAAAGAAACTTAAGTGTCGAGTCATCAGTTGCGAGCTGTTTTCCTCCTTCGATAGATAAATATTTTCAGTTTCTACGAAGTCTAGGTCAGGCATAGGATCAGTTATTTCATACGAATATAGTGAACAAACTTCAAACCTTCATTAACAACTGTCTCCGCTCAATACTCAAGATCAGATGGCCAGAAAAGATCAGCAACAGGGATCTCTGGGAGCGAACCAATCAGGAACCGATTGTGAAACAAATAGGCAGAAAGAAATGGAGATGGATTGGCCATACGCTGAGGAAACCATCAAGTGACATCACTAGACAAGCCTCGAGTGGAACCCGAAAGGGAAGCGAGTTGGTCGTCAGTGCAAGGGTGACTTGGAGGAAGTCATGTGAGGAGGAGATGAAAGCATGTGGGCAGACTTGGAGCGGGGTGAAAAAGTTGGCAGAAAACAGAAGGCAATGGAGACGCTCAGCTGAAGCCCTATGTTCCTCTAGGAACTAAAGGATACAATAATATATATAATAATAATAGTGAATGTAGTTGTGAACTGAAATTAATTGAATTATTAACGTAGGACTCTGAATAAATGGGCTATTGTACCTAACGGGCATGCTTTTTTCATCTTTCAAATAGTATATTTTTCATATTATTGATTGATTACTCTCGTTTTTTAAAACATAATAATGGATCGGATACGATTAAACTCTTAGTTTGATAGCAGATTGTATATGATCTCTCGGGTCTTTGGAAATAATAGCTTTAATCAGTAGTACCTAACTGGAATGAAGACACAGATTGCAAGGTATTCAGTTAACGTAAATCTTTAGCTCCAGTCTTATGAGAATTCAGCTGTCGTAGATCATGCAGTTATCAGCAGCCTTGAGGATATAAAAACAATCGCTTTATAGTAATAGCTAAATTTAAGTTATCATGTATGTAATCATAAAACAGTACGTATGCTGAGCATTAGTTCAGTTGCTTTGGCCTGAAAATTGACTGAAGTTGTCATATTCAATGACACTTATAGGTATAGTGTTGTAAAGTTAGGGACCAGAAAACCGCACCAGTTCGTGAAGTCTTTAGATTCTGGTTTGGGCCATATGAGATGTTGACTGATTCATTGGAGTTCTCAAGATGCTACTAATCAATCGTTGGTGAATATCAGTGGAACTGTTCATAATGTCGGAAGCGTATTCCCTCCATGTTGTCATCCATAGTGATTAAATCCTCCATTATTCCTTACCTACTTAGTATTTTCTGCCATACATTTTCCCTTTGCGCACTGTAGTTGTCTTGTATCCCTTTTCTAAGCTTCCGTGTGTTTCTTAAAGCCTAATAAGATGCTCTATACAGTATGCATGTATGTAAAAACCGTCAGGAACATGTAGAAATCAGAGTGATATTTTATTGATCTTATGGATGCTTGTTCAGTAATATTTAAATTGAAATGGGTAAAGAAGCCACAGGAAGATCAGTGCGTGGTTTCAACTCCTAGCAATATATGACATAGTACACCATTATACCATATAAACACTAGAATGCCATTTAAATTCTAATGATACAAATAACCTGGACTGCTCTGTATCATGTGCAAAAAATACTTATACTGTGCATTCAACTTCTGACAAACATTATGAAGTTAGTTCTCTATTGGTATTATTATTTCTGTTATTATTGTCTGCAATAGTAGTAGTAGTAGTATCATTAGTGCCAATATAAAACAAATACCTTCTGCATAGATTCATCTAAACTCTAACCTAGTAAATTTAAGACTAAACGTTTTTCCACCAATTGGCACCAAAATGATTTCCAACGCATGTCGACGTCACCTTCTGGACTGATAGAAAACAGCCCCAAAACAGGTGTTTCTTTGCATTACCAGTTCTCCTTGGTACAGTAAAAGGCATCACAGATGGTTTCAGGACGCTTTATTTTTAACAAAGCTAAATATGTCACACGGTAATGGCAGCAGGGAAGTAATAGCCTTTCTTAAGCATCACTCACTTTATAATGAGAAATCTTTACTTCCTATTTGTTTACATAATAATATGTTACCACTTATTGGAACGTTGGCTTTTGATTAGAATTGGAACTAGCTTGGCGTTACCATAAGATTTACTGGGTCAAATATTTACGGACAGATTTCATCATAAGGCAGTGTTAGGTAAGCACCTATTTTCCCTACCTTACGACTCTTTTATAACGTTCACTGTCGACCCCACAATAAATTCAGTCGGTGATTATTAAGTAGCTGACCTAGCTGTTACATTGCAGCAGCGGTAATTGAGAATATAATTTCCAATTCCTGTCAGTTATTAATATCAGTCTATGATGAATCCACTTTAAAATCTATGGATTGAGCACAAAACAAATGTTATATAATTCAGTTTATCAAATATGTACTTATATTACCTTCCAGACACACTTGTTTGGCTCCAACTATTCAGTGTCTTTATGCTTCGTAGTGGTGTGCCAGTGCGAAAGACAGTTGTTTTCATGTCTTTTATACTACAGTTCTTAAATTTATGTAAGAATGTTTATAGCACAGAAGAATTATCTGAGCAATAAAATGAAGCGAACATCAAAGTACTGGTAATATTTTAGAACTTTAGAATTTTATCACGCTTAATCTTGTTGGTCAGTGCACTACTATTTTATGATTCAATTATTACCACAACATTTGATGCAATGATTGGATATCAAAGCTCCTCGTCCCACAGCTAAAGGCTGACTAAAACGGTCCATGAACCTAACTGTCGTTAAGATACTTGAAGTCATGCTTTTGAAGTGACATACATAACCTAGTATAGTTGTATGACGCTATAAATAACTGTTTGGTAGACATGAATAGTTGGATACAAATAATGTGAGTTAATTTGCGAGTGATGAAGTTGCCAGAAACCTATCATAATAATTTTCACTTCCACGTGTTCCAAAACATTGTACAAGTTAGCTCGATAGAAATCCTGAATATACTGTATCCAAAAGTTAATAAATCAACATCAGGAGTAAACACGGAGAACACTACTGTTCATATTGTTCATA